TATATATATATATATATATATTAGTTGAAATAATAAATTAAGCATTGGAGTTGTTAGTGTTAGTAATTATATATATATTGGGTGAAATATTGTTGAGGATTATCAAAAATTGTAATCAAAGTAAATAATTTAAGAAATGAAAAAAAAGTTTTTTCATCAGATCTTATTCTCAGGTTGTGTTGTGTTTATGGCTTGAATTTTATGTTAACCTAATAATACTTGAAAAGTGTTTTTGGTGTACAAAACTTGAAGATAGCTTTTATATGCAGAAACATCTGTTAGCTGAGTTCTTGCACAGATCTTGAAAGTCGAGTTGTTCATAACTTGAAAATAGTGTTGATAACTGGTCCAATTGTTGGTTGAGATGTTGCAAAGGAAATATCTGCTGGAGCTTTTTGCCAGACACTAATCATAGCAGAAACGTCCATTGGGCTCTAGTTATCTGTGCAAAATCTAAACTAGATTTCGAATTGAAGACAATTAAAATTATTTTACTAGAAAATGGGTATCCAGAAAATGTCATCAATCAAATTACTTCAAGGAAAATTGCGAGCTTCTCAAATGCCCCAAAATTTGGTCCCAACAAGTGTTCTGTTTATCTAAAACTACCATGGATTGGTAACACTTCAAAAAATTTGAAAAACAATTGAAAAAGGCCATTACTAAATGTTTTCCTGCAGTGAACCCCTACTGTGCTTACTCCACACGTAAGTTGTTGCCTGCAACACACAAAGATGCAATACCTACCACACAGAAAAGTATGGTTATTTATGAATTCTCATGCCACTGCGAATGTTGGTACGTAGATTGCACTTCACAAAGATTGCAGGATAGAATTAAACAACGTGTACCCAAATCCATAAGAAATAAGAGTGTGAAAGAAAAGAATTTACCATGTCGCTCCTGTAAAACAAAAGTTCTACCACCAATATGTGAATCAGCGATTGGCCAGCATTTACTAGTGAACCCGACTTGTGCTGACAACTACACGGATATCAGGTTTACAATTATTGCAAATTGTCTGTCAACCTTTCATCTCTATATTTTGGAAGCCACCTTTATTAAAACACATAAACCTGTCCTTTGGTGCCAAAAAGAATTCCTCTACAATCTACACATCCTTCAGTAGGTCTGTGACATTTTCTGATTGACTTACCGGCCTATGTTGACCTGACTAATTTTATAATCTGTACTATTTTCTATAGATCATTTTCCAGACGTTTCTGCTATGATTAGTGTCTGGGGAAAAGCTTGAGCAGATATTTCCTTTGCAACATCTCAACAAACAATTATCCAGTTATCAACGCTATTTTCAAGTTTTGAACAACTCAGCTTTCAAGATCTACATATCTACATGTGCCGATGTTTCCATTTATCCACGTTATATTTCAAGATCTGACCAAGAACCCAGCTAACAGATGTTTCCGCATATAAAAGCTATTTTCTAATAATAGTTCCAGGCTTTCTCATTACTAGCTTAGTGTTTTAAATAGTTAAGTTTTTTGTTAAATGTTGAAAATTAATTTACATGTGAGAAGAAAGAAAGTGGAACAGTTGCTATAGTAACATTGAAATGTTTGCTTTCTAGTGGGCTTACACATGCTAATTACAAACTGATTTTTAAAATTATAATATGGTACTTTGTTTTGGAGAATCACAGAATCTGATAAAAAGATTAGTTCTGTTTTGCTTTTGTTTGAGTAGATTGTGGGTAGAAGTGACGTGAATTTTCATCTTCTTGATGAAATATTACATTTTCACTGTTTTTGATGATTTAAGTAGAACTGTGAAATTATGTAATTAGTGGAGACAATGCTCTTATCCACATGTTTAAAAGATTTTTTTTTTTGCTAATTTTAATGTTTTTTTCTGTTTTAGACAAAAGTGATGGTAAAATATATTCTATAACTTAATACTCCTGGAGTTGTTAGAGCCATGTCACTAAACCTGCTAGTGCAGTTTCTCTCGTATCTCATCACAATTTATTGGTTTGTACAGTTTTAAGAGTTTTTTTTTGCTATGTCATAGGTTCTTGTAATATTTTTTTATGATTTGTATATGTAATGAATAGTATTAATAACCTTGCACAGGAGTGGGTCCCTATCATCACTAGAGATGTCCAAAGGCAGCGTCGACAGGCTCCTTGTGCCCCATTTAGTGATGCCTACCTCAGTGGGATGCCATCTAAGAGGAGGAAGGTAAGACTGTCACACAAATTCAAGTTTTTATGCCTACCAGAAATTTCCTTTTTGAAAGCAAAAGAGCTCTAAAGAGACAATTTTTTGAGGTTGAATAAACAAATTTAGGGCCCGGCATTATTGGTTGGTTAAAGAGTAGCCCAAGAGTTGGTGGTGGGTGGTGATGACTAGCTGCGTTCCCTCTAGTCTTACACTGCTAAATTAGGGATGGCTAGTGCAGGTAGCCCTCGTGTAGCTTTGCACAAAATTCAAGAAACAAACAAATTTAGCATTAAAAGAAAAGAAAAAAAGATATTGAAATAAAAAGCAACAATTTAAAAACAGTACTCAAAAGTCAGTTAAAAGTATGAAATCATGAAATGACCGTAAACAGTTCGTCCTCTACAATAATTGTTTTTTAGGTTAGGTTTGGAACAATTGGGTGAATGGGGACGTTCATTATTGTATCTTTAAAGAGTAGCAAGGGCCATTTATTTATACAGAATTAATTGCACATAGCTTTTAGACCAGATGTCAAGAAAGACCTTATGAGTCACTTGGTATAATTTTTATTGTATTTGTATGGTCTGAGACCTTCCCTTCAGAGATGATTTCACTCTAAAGCATATAGCCAAAATCTTTTGCTGTCACTAATTTCTATGTAAGCAACTACTGTATTGTATTAGTATCACATGCAGAAAAACTTGGCTCCATTCTAGACAGCATTTTTAGGTCAAGTGTTATCTGTCCAAGCCGATTCAATTTGACTGTATCTTGCAGTGTTTCACATAGTGCCATTTTTCTAAACTGCTACATTAGCATTAAATTTGATATGCATTTTCTAAATAGTTATAGGCTTCTGTTATAAAAATATAGAATCTATATTTTTAGTGTATTACTTTTCCTATTGTGTATTACTATTACTATGGAACAGTTTTATATTAACAAAGAAATACAACTTTCACTTCATTTCTTTTTTACCTTATTTATAAAACCTATATTTTATACACCCATGTTTTATTTTGCTAACATTACAACTTTTGTGTGGGTGTGTCTGTTAAAACAGGTTATCTATTTCTTGTGTTTGTACAGAAATCACTGACATACTGTGATTAAACTATTGAAATAAATCAGTAAAACCTAATTTTTCATTGTCTCTTATTGCTCAGAACCTATCTAAATTGACATACTTATCAGAGGCGAATTTGAAAGTTTGTTTCCATTTATTTGAAGAAACTGTAATTGTCCCTAAACCTAATTTTTTGCTCAGAACCAGCATCTATTATTTTATGAAAGTAAATACAGCATTGATACTAATAAAGTATTATGCAGTACTTACAGACTAACACAAACTATAAAACTATTTCTGATAGTTATAGTTGGTCTGTGAAATTTGTTGCAATTCTGCAAAGAAGTTGTCACATGGCATCAGATGACAATGGCTGTGTATGCTGTCTCGACATCTAAATTTACAGAGCTTTGAAATGATACGAGGTTAACGTGGTTATTAGCAAATACACTAGGTAGTCACAATGTGACTGCATATTTTACCAAGTAAATAAAAGGAACAAAAAACAGTAGTTTTTGGTTCCATAAAAAATAAATATGTTTATATTTTTATCACATTATTCATTTTATTGTAAATAGTGGTTGTAGCTATGAAACTGTGTAGTAGTTTCTGAAAAATACCTTATCATTTTGTGTGTACAATTATAATACTAATGCTAACATAGGGAATAGCAAGGGTACAATTATAATACTAATGCTAACATAGGGAATAGCAAGGGTACAATTATAATACTAATGCTAACATAGGGAATAGCAAGGGTTTTTATTTTGACTTGATACTTTGTGGAATTAGTAATTCTGATATCAAGTCCTACAGGATATATTTTGCTTATTTAAATTATGAATTATATTCAAATATCTATTTCATCTTTTCAGTTAAGAAAGCTTTATTGAAGGCTTTCTTCTCTAGAAGTAGATACAAATGATTAATATAACAGATACTTGCAATAGTTTTACCATCTGTGTTTGTAGAAGACATAACATTACTAGGGTTTGAAACTGCTGCACACAATCAGTCTGTAAATGTGTAAAATACCAACTTCTGTATCTGTAGAAAATCAACTTTTGATTTTCACTTTAAGACACCAGTTTTTCCCTGATGTTACTGAAAATTTAATATTGAATACATTCTTGTTTTGAAAGGTTTTTTTTTAAACAAAAATTATTTCAATGCTGACATATAGCTTATGTTTCTTAGTTAATTACAATTATAAGTATTCAATTAGAAAAATCTGTGTAATTTCTGTCTCGTTAAAAAAAAAGCATCGAATGATTTTCAAGAAGTGTTAGAAACCAACTGAAAGTTTGATTTCAGAATGTTACATAGCAACCAAAACGTGCTTACTGTAAGGTACATGGTAGGTTAAAAAACTTGCTTTTTTCATAGGCATTGAAGTGATATTCAGTAAAGTAATTTTTTGTGTTGAATTGCCTTGTTTTCACACTATGAAGTATTAATTAACGTTTGCAGTTTTTAATCTGATGATAAGATTAAAAATAAATATTAGTGACTTAATCTGTTTAGGGGGAAAGTAAAATTTAATCATAAAACTTTAAAGAGGTGGATATGTGAGTGAAAATTAATTCAGTTAGAATTCAGAACTTGGGTATATAAATAGTTCAGCAGTGGAGTGTTAGCATTTATAGAAACAAAAACATTTTAAAACTATTATAGTTTGTAAACTTAAGTTGTGTACCAGATGTATTAATAACTTAAGACAATTTCTTAGCTTCAATTTGTTTGGATAGACTTTTTCTGTAGAGTAACCATAATATGTACGTTTTTACTATTTTGTATCTAACAGTTAATATTTGCATGAATTCCGGTAACAATAATACATTTACTACTCTTAATATCACTGTAGTTAAACTGTTATCTACTTTAGTTGTGTGCATAAACTGTTAAATATCAGCAGTAACAGATCTCTCAATATTTGTAATATGTCTGAATGTATACCTATGTCATTTTACAAGATAAATGAAAATTAATGTATACATACGTTGGAATAAATTTCTCTCTCTCTCTTTTTGTTTGTTTGTTTAGATGATGGGCAAAAATGGTCATCAAAACCTTCTGACCCCTGTCCAGACTATCTTGCCTAATGCCCTCCAACGGGCTATTACTGCAGCAGGTGTATGGCCACTAACCAGCTTGGACCAAATTAGACAAGATGCTACACAGGATGAGAAACTACATGCTGCATACAGAGAACAGTTGAAGTGTGATGTTCAGGAACGGCTTCAAAACGATCTAGATTACAATCCCAGCAGATTTCCTAATGCTGATAAATACTTTAAAGAAGGCAACAAGTAGTTGAAATTGTTATATCTTTCAAACTCGTGTAATCGTATAGTCAGGTGACAGCTTAAACCATTTAATTTAGATTATGTTATTCTACTGATATAAAAGCTTTAAATTTAACTGATTTCGATAAGGCTGTTTTGTATATTTTTTTAACTTTTCTGTTAATAAGCACCGTTAAAATGTTCGCAGGAAACTCTGTGTATTTAGTAAGGAAGTGATCTCTAAGAATATAAAGGGAATGAAAGCACCCGTTGAACTGGAACTTTAAAACAGACATTTCTGACGTTAGTAATTTGCGATTTTTTTTGAGTGATATAGTATTAGTCCAACAAATTGCAGTAAAATGTACTTTTTTGAACTTTTTTTTGACTGTTTAAATTGTATTCAATAAAAGGCAAAACATTCAGTGTCAATTAAGACTTTTTCACTGACCTTACAACACTTTATATTTAGTATGGAGTTAAGCACTTTTTTTTTTTACCTGAAGAGTTAACATACGACAAATAAAGTTAAAAATTTGTGTTAATTTGTGATTTGTTTTGTATAGATAATGTAACCAAGCCAACTTTTCTTTTTTAAGACAGTATATAAAGTTATAGACTTAAAAAAACGTGTAACCTATGGGCATTTTATTCTCTCCATGATAGTGAAGTCATATCTCAACACACGTTGTATGACTGGAAGATACCAGCTTGGTAAAGAAATTAAACTATAAATAGCTGGGCTATAATAGAAATTGTCAGATGAAAGTACCACAATAATTTGCGGTGGATGCTGTTAACTAGCTGTCCTCTCTCTAGCCTATAAGTCCAAAATTACAGAGATAGTTATGTGCAGAGATATCTTTGTAAGAACATTCTAGAATAAAAGACTTTTAGAATGCTAAAGAATGATTATAAGTCCTGATATCGGAATTATAAACTGAGAAACGGTAAGAGTAAAAAACTGTTGCTTAAGTGTATGCCTCTCAGCGGTAAGCTTGAGGTGTGTACGCTAAATATCGGGGTTTGAAACCTATGGTTGGCACAATGCAGATAGTCCATTGTGTAACTTTGCATTTAAGAACAACAAAATTGTTTATATATACATACAAGCATACCTTCCAGAGAACCAGTGGGAAGTCTGAGGCTTACAACACTAAAAATCTGGTTTCCATACCAGTAGTGGACAGAACACCGTTGTGTAGCTTTGCGCTGAATAATAAATAGACAAAAACAAAACTTAATTGCACATATGTTTAAAAGTGATGTCATAAAATATGAATAAATATAAAAGATGTAGAATTGGAAGTCAAGTGATAATACAAACCTTTTACTTGTGTATTTCAATCTGGTACGTGTAATGAAATTATGTTAACATGATTGTGTCGGTGTTAACCAATAATGGGATGTGTTTATGAAAATCGATAGTTTACACAGACTGGGGTTTCAAGCTCTAGAAATGTTTCATAATGGGTATGGTTGTACACATTTTGGTTATGCACGTTTTGTTTGTTGTTAGGGCACACAATCAGTGTCCATCGTAGTAGGCATCGTAACCCGACTTTTAGCATTCTAAGACAGGAAGGTTTTAAATTCATTGAGTCGTTCTAAGGTGGGTTATTATGCAATTTTGGATGTAACATGTCACGTGATTCAGAAAATATTGCACTTAAAATTGAACGACACTGACACCTTCTGGTAGAATTAGAAAATTAGGCGTCGTTCTGGTAGGTACGCTAATGTTTTATAATACAATGTATAGATACCTGGCACAGGTTAAACTTATCATTTAAAACATTTAAAAAGTACCGCCTGAAGGAGGAGCTGTAGTGTAAAATTCGCAGTTTTTTGTTTTTCTGACAATAAGCACGATTCCAGGAACCCGTAGAGACAACCCGTACAGTGGGTTGTGGTAATAACTTAGTAGTGGTTTACTCTTGTACACTGGGTATAGTTAAGTTTGCTACTAATCAATACAGCTGACGAGAGATGTGCCCAGGTATGTACAACTTTCTGTAAAACATTTTAATTATATTTGACCAAATAGGTTAGAGTGGTAACCACAGAGCCTACGTGACAGAGGATGTTAAATACTGTAGTTTAAAATTATTCAAATAACATATTTGATAACGTTTCTAAACGGTATACTGGAATTATGTAGGAGACGCGTGAAACCTATCGAAAAGTCCCCCAGTGGTACAGCAGTATGTCTGCGGACTTACGATACTAGAAACTGGGTTTCAATACCCGTTATGGACAGAACATGTAGGTTTATGGTAAATTTAAAGTTATAAAAAACGACCTTTACAAACCAGATAATTATAAAATTAAAAAACTGTTAACCGACGTTTCGCCTTTGCGGCCTACATACTAGCCCTGAAGAAGCCGCAAGGGCGAAACGTCGATTAAATGTTCTCTTATAATTATTTTGAATGTAACGTTTTTTTTAACTTTATTATCAAAATCTGTAAATTCATCAAGAAATGTTTTTTGAAATTTATAGTAGTGGTTTGAATTCGAGAAGCTGATAAAATATAATAATAATAATACGTAGGCAAACAACGATTTATAAACGTAAGTATTTGTTTGTTTGCTTTGAATTTCGCGCAAAGCTACACGAGGTCTATCTGCGCTAGCCGCCCCTAATTTAGCAGTGTAAGACTAAAGGGAAGGCAGCTCGTCATCACCACCCACCACCAACTCTTGGGCTACTCTTTTACCATCGAATCGTGGGATTGACCGTCACATTATAACGACCCCACGGCTGAAAGGGCGAGTATGTTTGGTGTGACGGGGATTCGAACCCGCGACCCATAGACTGCGAGTCGAGTGCCCTAACCACCTGGCCATGCCGGGCCCAAGCATAAGTAAAAGTTTTATTGATGGTGGAACACACTACATACTGACAGAATATTGGTCTGGCATCTTCGGGTATGATCATCACAAAGTAATCCAAGGTTTGTATACATTAGAGACTAAATGGTGACAGGATATAGGTAAAAGGTTAAGTCTCATCAAGTGAGTAGAACTTGCCAAATACAACTGATGTTACTAGGGTTATTATCACGGTTTAATGACAGATATTTTGCTTTGATGATTTCTATAGTTTCTAACCAGTCTCCTTCATTTTTAGTTCTGGGTTGGTGTAGGAGAAGAGTTTCATCCCAAAATATTTTGTTATGCATTTCAAATTGATGACATGTTAAAGCGGATAACTGTAAATCACCTTTACACATGTGATTTTAGTGTTCTTTGCGTCTTGTTTCTAAGGAACGTCACGTTTGTCCTATGTATTTCTTACCACATTCACATAGGATACTATATATGCTCTGTTTTTGTTCTTTCGATACGGATAATCGTTTTAGGCAATAAGATGTTAATTTTATGTCAAGGTTTGAGTGCAGTTTGTACATCAATGCTCAAATTATTAAATAGGCTAATAATTTTGTTAGCAATTTTTGAAATAAAACTGGAATGAAACATGCTTCTTACGTTTTGTGTTGTTGATAGCTGAAAGTTTAGAGTTCACATAAAGTTTTTCAATGTTTTGAAGTTTGATACATGCCCTACCTATGATATTGGGGTTAAAACCTATAGATAGTGCTATGTTCTTAATCTAATAAGTAAGTCTTCTTTGTGGGTGCAGCATGATTTACGAAGATGAAGTAGGAGGCTATTTTCTGTGATAGGTGATGATTAGATCTTATATGTGCTGGCATGGTGACCTAAGGATATTTTCTGTGATAGGTGGTGATTATATCTTATATGTGCTGGCATGGTGACCGAAGGATATTTTCTGTGATAGGTGGTGATTAGATCTTATATGTGCTGGCATGGTGACCGAAGGATATTTTCTGTGATAGGTGGTGATTAGATCTTATATGTGCTCGCATGGTGACCGAATGAGATTTTCTATGATAGGTGGTGATTAGATCTTATATGTGCTGTCATGGTGACCGAAGGTTATTTTCTGTGAAAGGTGGTGATTAGATCTTATATGTGCTGGGATATTTTCTGTGATAGGTGGTGATTAGATCTTATATGTGCTGGCATGGTGACCGAATGAGATTTCCTATATACATTAGTGATAATTTTGTTATTTTCTTTTTCAACGTTCACATCTATAAAGTGAAGACAAATGTTGGATTCTATTTCGTGTGTAAAAATTATGACATTGGGTATTAACAATTCTAAGAATTCGATGAAATTGAGTAGTGTTTATTTGACAGGTCACCATATACTGAAGACGTTATCTACGTATCTAACCAGATTTCTGGTTTCTTGATGTGTATGAATTTGTTTCCAAACAATTCTTCCTCTAGAACGGGACATGTAGAGGGAAAAGGGGGATCCCTTCGCCAATCCATTATTTTGTTTGTAAAACTGGCCTTCATATGTAAGATAAGTGTTGTTTGAGGTTGGTAAGGTTGTTACAGAATTGTTTTTTTTAGATGATGTAAGGCTTTTTCAACAGGTAAATAAAAAATTTATGTCGAAATAAGAGTATAATTACCATTTTGATCAATTTTTGTTTTTTTTAGTAATTATTTCTAACGAGGCATCTTGTTTAGTGTCAGAATGGTATATGGTAATATTAAAAGTGCCCAAACACGCTTAATAGATGTTTAAAAGGCCTTGAAGACATTCCTTAAATGTCATAAAAAATCAAATAAAAATAATGATTGCTTCGAAAAAATCTGTTAAAGAGTACAGAAACAAGATATAATGTTAACAATATGGTGTATAATGCTTAATCTGGTTAATCATGATCTATATCACACTAAGTCTGATAACAATTTTAATTACAATTTTCTTTAATTATAGTATTTTGGTACTTGTGTATAAAGTTAAAATCATAAATAATATTCAACGTT